GCAGTAATTATTACCATAATCAGGGTTGTGGGATCATATGACGAATGCACCACTGTGCAGTAATTATTTCACGTGTTCTTCCTGGACTCAAGGAGGCTCTTAGTTTTCTGTGGTAACTCACAGTGGCGTCTGAAAATCGAACAGCCAGAGTCTGGACTGGTGCTGCCTATACCCCACACCACTAGACACAACAGCTTGGAGACACCATGCTCCCAGGGAGAGAATGATAAACTCTCCTTTCTTGTTCCCATTTTCTATGCACAATGTGTCAGTTTCCCTCCCACCAGGTATTGCAAATAGCAACACATCAGCTAGGATGTATCACAGGTCGACTAAGAGTCGCAAGTTTTTCCTACAGATCTGGTCAACAACACTTGATTTTCTTAAAGAAAAAGAAGAAGAAGAAGAATGAAGAAGGAGAAGCCGCCAAACAGCATTTAAAAACATATCTTAGTCTACTAAGTAAAAATAATAATGCTAAATATATAATAATAACTAATGATAACTAAATAACTTACCTGTGAGCACGACCTTTCCTGAGACGAAGATGAGGAGTACAATACGAGGCTTGACCATTCGGTAGATCAAGCCAGGGAACAGCTCTGGCTCGTAGCTGGTGTCAAGAAGGTAAAAAAAAAAATAAATAAATAAATAAGTATATAAATTAATTAATTAATTAAATTCATGGGACAACATTGTAAATTAAGTAACATATCCACTACAGGTAATCATAAACACTATACAATCGACAAATAGACTTACCTGCTGAACTGACTGTGTGTGAGAACAAGACCCTCTAGTCGGATAGGGAACTTGACATCACAGCTTCCGACCATATTCTGGATCTTGAAGTCCATGAATTTGGCCTGTTACAAGTAAAGAAAAAAGGAAGAAAAGGAAGGAGGAAGGAGGTTAGAATTATTTGGTTATCAGTAATGAACTTCTCTTAATTTTGTTCATCTTAATTATCTTTTTTCCTTCCTTCTATTAAACCTATCTTTGAACCAATTGATGCTGGGATGGAGCAGGTCCATGCCCCATCCACTGCACTTTAAACTTACTGATTTTATCTAAATATAGGTTTTGTTTAAATATCTAGCACCAAGGAGCTGGTTATTATGACTTCCTGATCTCACCTGTTTACATTATTACTTGAGGTTATTATTTTTATTACAATTAGTGTTGTGGATACACTCAAACCTTTATGAGCTGACTACAAGTTAACAGGGCATTCACATTTTTTGTGTGCTAGTGTGTTTAATTGGTTTAGTATTCATCATTTTCCAAAATAATAAATACAGTACTGTGTTATTTCTGTCTTTCTTAATGTATTTGCTGATATTATCCACTGACAACCATGCCAAATTGAGTGTGAGCCGAAAGCTGGCTCAAGCCCACTGCACCATCTGAATGCCAGGCAGGGGCCCAGGCCTCACCTAATTAACTGAGCCTGCTGGGCAAGGGCCACTTATTGTCAGTAATTACATACAAATGGCTATACTGGACTGATGTCCTACCTTTGGTCCATTAAAAGGAGGTTTGAGTGTTATGCTATAATAATAATATTAACAATGAAAATAGTACTACTACTACTACTAATAATAATAAAACATTCATGACAATGATAGTTTTAAAACAAAACTTTCTTCCTTAAAAATTCAAGGAACAGAGTGAGGTCAGGCAGACTGTTCAAAATTAACTCCTTGGTGATTAAGTACATGTGGAGCATTGTGTGTGTAAGCAAAATTGACAAAACAAAACTACAGTGGATAATGCATGTACCTAGCACCAACGGTATAGGAAACTCTGTAAACTGGTCTAATAAGTATCAAGATTACACAGCGAAAACATCAACATCAGGAACCTACCGGGAACCCAAGCTTTTGCACTATTCTCGCATACTTTCTTGCTGCAAGTCTGGAGTCTTGCTCACTCTTGGCTCCTGTGCATACCATTTTGCCTGAGGAGAAGATGAGGGCTGTCGTCCGAGGTTCTCGAATACGCATGATGACTGCGGCAAATCGCTTGGGATTATATTCTGCATTACGAGCGTGGAGTGCAATTTTCTTCAGCTCCAACTTGCAGCTGAGGTTCACTGTTGACACAATGTTCCTGAAATTATGAGAAAAGTAAGGGACAGAGGAAAACATGGGCCTACAGGAGTGATCTACTGAGGACATTGCAGCTAAATTTCTGCCTCTGTGATTCAGAAAATAACATGAAAGGAAGAAAAAATCTACAATATAAAGGTTAGTCAGAAAATGTCCCTATTCTCAATAACTCATTATCAATTTTAAATGCCTATCTTTATTTTCTTTTAAAAGTACTCCCCAACAGACTTTGCACAGACCAGTATTCTGTAGAATTACTTCTGGTAGGTTCAAGGTGTTTCACATTCACATCTTCAAGGTTCCATCATGTCTAATTGTACTGAGCAACTGATCTAAAATCTTAGCATTCACCATATTCAAAGTGATTGTTCATGTATACTTGATACATCTGGAAATTTTCTGACCTGCACTCAAATTTCTGTCCCTCTAGGACAGATATAAATACTAAAATATACAAAGCATTGTTTTTCCTATCGCTGCAATCTAATTAAAAGATTATCTCTGTTATCACTGTATTCATTTCTTCCCTTACTTTAAAAATATGAACATTAATAAAAAGGAGTTTTAATTATTACTATTAGAAACAATCAGTTCCATTACAGTTATCATAGCAATATACTTCTAAATCAAAATCATTTATTACAAACTCTTTCAATACTAAATAAAACCTTAATAAGCCTAATCAATCATAAGAAAATGGCTTCCTGGCTTCAACTCACTGTAACTGTGGTACGATGCCAGGATCAGCCGAGTGTGGGGTCATAGGGGTCATGGGTCCTCCTATGGGGGTGGAAGGTCCTGTGGCTGAACCAAACATTCCGGCCCCAACCTGTGAACCTCCACCCACAGCTGGAGACATCATGCTCTGTAGAGAGTAGGTCGAGTAGTAGGTATAATAATGCCCACCAGGGATAGATATATGTTTGCTAAGAAGGCGCGCAACTGTGTGAAGTATGATATACCTATATCATGTGATATTTAAAGATTTACATTAAATGTATGAAGCAAAGACTCACTTGTACTGTTACTACTACCGCCATTGAAAACAGTAATATTATCAAACACTAATAACAATGATAGTAATAATATCCATTTTGTCAAAATAAATTTAAGAAATAACACAGAAACTAACTGGTGTCTGTGGCTGCATTAAGGTGTGTGGCGTAAACCCACTGCCAAAGGTCTGTGGCTGCTGCCCCATCTGCTGCCCCTGCTGCTGTTGCTGCTGCTGTTGGCTGTGTTGCTGGGCAGACTGCTGCTGCTGTTGCTGCTGGGCCGCTGGGAGGATCATCTCCTCTTCCTGCGAGTGCTGCAACGGTGTCCCGATGCTGGGGATGCTGAACCCCGGGGAAGGCAGCATGTGATCCATGCTTGTGTTTGTGGTTCACCGGCCTTGGGAGGAAACAAAAACTGTCATCAGTTTGTATTATTTAAAATGACACTTACTAAATCTAAATAAAACAGTAAATTGAACAAGGTTACATTTATGGATACAATCAAACAGATTACATTATTAAATGCAGATAATAGATTATACATTTCCATTTTTCAAAAGATCCAAAACAAAATGCTCAACTCTTATAAGATATTGGTATAAATTATGTGCATATTTATTTTTCATTTATTTATTTTATTTACTACCAATATTTGCTAATTATAAAGAACAGGACCAGGCATATGTTCACTGGCTTCATTATAGGCATTCTTCTTAAATGTCCAAAATAGGACCGTGTAAACACTACTGCAGTGTCACATCAACCTCATTTGCCACATCTCACACTTTCCTTCACTCTCCTATACCACCACAGAATTATCTAACATAGATGGAGGAAGCATGAGCTTGACAAAAACAAGTAAATGGTGGTGGTGGGGGGGGGGATAACTATGCTGTAATGAATACTTTAGAAAAACTTTACAACAGGACCACATACGTCTGAGACTAAAGACATGGTTCAACTGGTCTTGTATACGTCTAGGACCTGACTTTTATCCAAGTGCCCACCCAGACATAGTGTTTCAACTGCAAAAAGCACCACTACGCACAGTAATAATCATTTCAGCAACATAGAGCACAAGGACTTATTCCCTGTTTCACTATAGTTTGTATTTTATGGTGTATATTTTTTTAAGAAAGAAGCACACAAACCGATATATCAGATTCAAAATTATTAATGCTAATCTGACGGGATATCGACGAGAGGATAGATCCTGTTTCAATTTAGCCATTTCTTTATATTTGTTTTTGATAATAAAAACAAATTTTGTGATTATCAACTCTAAATGTTTTATGTAACTTTATTTATATAACTTTTGTTGACTTTATTGATTTAATAGTTTCTTTACAGACAAAAATTTTAAATTGCACCCTGAAAAGCTCAGAGATGCCCGAGGAAAAGAACAGTCTGATTCATGTCATTGCAAGCTCCCCTCAGCCCCTAGATTTTGCACCAAAGTGACCCAATTTTGCCCATATAGCCATGCATATGACCAGACCTGCATGTACACAAGACCAGTTGAACCGCGCCTTAAATGCACAACTACACAAAGATAATTTCATGAACCAAGATTTACCCTAACCTGAGGGTTCTGCCCCTAGACCCCATACAGATTGCTGCATTTCCCTAGCCAGTAAATTCTGTAACCCATTAACGCCAGTATATATTGAAGTCGAAAATAAAAGATTCCGGCAGCTACAAAATCAGCGGGCAGAGCTTCCCCGGAGTCTGTCTGCCCACCAGCAGCGGCCTGCTGCTGCGTCAGAGCTTGAACCCTGAAACAACATCACACTGGCAGGACGCCTGGTAATGTTTATTTTTTCAGGTGTCTCACATGTAGGACACCTGTCGTTATTGGGTTAACCCACTAGTGTCTGTATATTTTGAAGCCAAAAATAATAGTTTCAGGCGGCTTCAAAATTGGTGCACGGGCAGATTCCGGGCCGTGGCCTGTAACAGAATCAGAGTGCATGCTCCAATCCAATTACAGACAGAATCAGAGTGCATGCTCCAATCCAATTACAGACAGAATCAGAGTGCATGCTCCAATCCAATTACACTAGTGGGATGCCTGGCAATGTTAATTTTTCACAGTGTCTCATATGGGGGACACCCATCATAAATGGGTTAATTTTGTAAAGATGGTGAGCAACTTTAACCAATAATTCTTCTAGAAAACTCATATTTGCATTTGTTTTTTAAACAATCTGAAACTTCTTGGTTAACATCTCCTACTTAGCATACTTGACATGCTCAATAACCACATGGAAATCCATCAATTCTTCAGATAGTCTAGGCAACAGCTTCAAGAATTTTTTACATAATACAATACCCTTCTTTCTATTATGGCTTGTATTGTAATCTCAATTCAATAATCAAGTCTTTCCACTCTATAGTACTAAGTGTTATGATTTACTTATATCAACTGATGAAAGAAATTCTGGAAAATTATTGTGTCCTATCAGGTAAGCCTACCGTAGACAATACGAAGAATATCAAGATGATTTCGATAGAACTCAAAATCTCGCCCGGAAACGTTGGTAATGTACACCCGACAGAAAATCAAACCAGATTACTAAAAAACACGAGGAAAGGGTACTTGTCAAAGATTATGATATATTAGATAGGTACTCCCAAATCTGTTTTCTTCTCATAGGAAAATAAACTTCTTAGTATCTCCGTCTTTTCTTCTTCCATCTATGACACCCTACATTTTCTTGCGAAACGGAAAAAATAAAGAATGGCTGAAATAAGTTATAAATTCACCTTAAACGAATAAAATGTGAGTCGCTGTCTACACGGCAAACTCAGCGCTTTGAGCCGATGTAAACAAACACAAAGTTCACTTTTGGACTAAAACTTTCTTTTTCATTTATTTATATATATTCTGCATATTATTTTTTATCTTTCAAGTTTTAAAAATATATGTGGATGTTTAATGTGTTTAAACGATGAAAATTTGCTTTAGCAAACAGCTTTCGAAAAGGATTTTTTTTCTGCAGAAAAAAATATTGTTGTAATTTTATTTCACACTAAAGCTTCACTTATTGTATCATGTTTAAAATTTCGATTCAAATTGCTCTATCTTTTCTGGAAAAAAAAAATAGATCCTCATTTAAAGGTCCTTTTACATACGCGGACACTTATCCCTTCCTTCTCAAATACATCATGTATTCGTGTAGAAATCTTTACATAAGCAAAAGAAATAATTATTCGATTAAATATGTAATAGCAAAAGACACGGACTTTCTAAACAATTTCATAAATTTAAACGATGGGTCCCTAATAACATCAAGGACCGCCATCTTGGACCAAATGGGTAAACCGCGGGTAATTTTGATATAACGGAGATTCAAAATCGTATTCTGTTTTGGGGGTTTTCTCCCTCGTCGCTTCATCTACTTTGGTCCCCAAAAACGGTAAGTAATGACAAGAAGAGGTTGTTTAAAGATAAATGTGAGAAAGGTTGGAGAAAGAAGAAAAAAGAGAATAACCAAAAGGGCGTAGTATCTGGTTTGTGTTTTTTTCTTTTTTTCCTTTTTGTGTTTGTTTTTAATTTGTAGGGAAGGGAGTATGATGTACGTATGTAATTATTCATTTACAAATATTTTGTATATTTAATTTGCTGCAATCAGTCCTCTGAAATTACTTTATAAGACAAAAACAAAGTCAAAGACATTTGAAATTGATATAACGAGCAGCGTAGTGTCTTTTGTAGCCGGCAGCCGGTCAGCCATTTCTAATCTTCCCCAGCAGTTGCTAACGAACTCAGAACACCGTCTTTATACACTGCAGACATTATTTTTGCACAAATTGCACTCTGATAATGTATGGAATGTACATGTCACAGTAATGTTGCTTCAGTTTATACTTCAAATGTAGTAGTTGTTATGTTAGTTACATTGCTCAACATGTGTAAGGGATTTGAAGTTGATTATGTGTAGAGGAATTGGGTAGTTTTTCTTTTTTTTTTTTTTTTTTCTTTTCCTTTTTTTTTTTACAGAAGCTGCAGGTTGGTGATACTAATGAATTGGGTATTAAAGGCCTGTGAAACCCGTTTGAGATCTAGATTGACCTTTATTGCATAAAACAGATTTAGCAGATTTACCCTACAACCTTGAAAAACAATCTTAGGTTTCCTTGCATAGTTCGAGCCACCTATTATGGATTTGTTTTATTAATTTTGTTTGCACAGATTGTTCACCCAGGAGACGATTGTTAGGCCTTCGTGACCTTACCTTGCTACCCTCCTTTTTATTTAATTATTCATTTTTTGGTCAGTCTTCAGTATTACATTGGGTATATGTACCTCAACTATTGATATTGATATAATACAGAAATCTAAGACTTTTCTTTTCTGTAAACTTTTGGCACAAACGTATATCAATGATGCTATTTAATCCATAAAGCTCAGGTTCCAAAGTGGAGACTACAATTTATGATATTCAGATGCGTTGTGAGGTTTTGGAGAGGGAACATGGCGAGAAGGGCATGGGGTTTGGAATTAGGTTAGGTTTGGTTTGGTAATTTTGTTCAAAAACTGTTAACTTGGAGCTATATTGTTAGCAAGACAGGGGTCCAGACACTGTTGTCCAATTCTACCCACCTTTCAAGCGTGTTGCGTAACTGTAGAAAAGGACATTTAGAAAAGGTAAAGGGGAAATGTAGAATTTCAGAATGGATGGTACTGTTGATATACATTTGCGCCAAATGTTTATAGCGAAGAAAACTAATTGATGTGTTCTATTAATATCAGTCACAGTAATTGCAGTAGGTGCAAGGATGAAAATTTACCAAACTCTTTCAAGATTTCACAGAATGAGATAAAAAGGTGAAATCAGGTAGGCCTAGGAAGTGGTGATTAAACGTTATGGTTAACTTAGTTGACACACCAAGGGCGTCTTCTGTAAGTCAAGTCCAACCCTTGACATTAATGAAGAAGCTTAACAGTTCCTCAAGTTTTTTTCTACCAGTTCTGTCCAAGCATGATGTCATTATTATGGCTCCACCCGCTGTATAATCCACCAGTGCAGAGCATATTCAACTCAGAAAAATGTCAGTTAGGGAGGATGTTTTTCGATAATTCCTATCTGGCCATCTGTTGTAAGGTGATATTATAAGTAGAGAGACTTCATGCACTATTATACAATTATTATTCATATACATTTTGGAGAGAAAGACCACGAACTTGCCATCTAATTCTGAAAACAATTATTACATTGGTACTTTTCACAGTTTGAATGAATTTGGCTTGACTTTACATTCACACTTACCCTCCAGCAATTTTACATTAAACATAAATTATAGCAATGGAATGTGCATTATAGATTTTCTTATGAAAAGGTTAATCTAAAATAGTAAGATGAATGAAAGAATTTATTTACAAAAAAATCTTTATAGATGGATTTTTATATATCACATATAAGTGTTGTGTTGTGTGTGTGTGTATATATATATATAATATATTATATATTATATATATATATATATATATATATATATATATATATACATTATACACATATATATAGCACATATATACACATATAGACTATACATATACATATAGACATATACATGCATATACACATATACACATAATAGCACATATACACATATACCCACACTATACACATATAACACATATACCAAATATACACATATTATATCCATATACTACTATATACATATACATATCACTATATACTTACTATATATATATATTATAATATATATACTATACTAATTATAATATATATTTTCGCCGCCCTCCCGTATCCGCCTTCATAACTATTATAGACAGAATATACATTATACATATACATATACATCTATATACCTATATAATCCATAACTCAATACATATATATTATAATATAGTTAATTATACCAGATACATTCCTAATAAGCCACTACTGCCCATCCTACTATACTACAGCCTACTTAATTATAATAATAATATTTTATTACTATATGTATACCTATATAATAACTTTTATTTCCTATATATTATATAATAATTATATATATTTCACCCCCCATCTCTTATTCCGCCTATATTCCAATTATAATATAATATAATTATAATATTAATATATATATAGTATATAATATATATATATATATAAATAATTATACATATTACATACTCACTATCTCTACTCTACCTAATATTAATATATATACCATATTAATGATATATATATATATATACATGTTGTGTAATTATTAAGTGTATATAAATATATATATCTAATTATACCTTAACGCTATATCCGACTACTTAATATATATAATATATTTCCCCACCTACTATACCTACTACTCCAACATAATATACATACCTACCTTACATCTATATTGTACTTAGTATGTAGGTTTAACCACCTCTTATCTATATCACCCCTGAGATTGTAATATTATATTTATATATATGTATGTTTATATATGATTAGTATATATATATATAGTAAAGTTATATAAAATAAGTAGAATATTATAATATATAATATATCTAACATTAATATATATACTCACATGGCCCCCTATACTCCTATTAGTTATATTATATAATATATAATATATATATTATAACTTATAATATATATATATCATATAATATATAATTAAATATTATAAATATTTATAAGTATATGTTAATATATATTATAGTATATGGTATAGTATAATTATATATATATATATTTATATATATAATATTATACTAATATTATATACTCACCTACATATATATACTAATACATATAATCTTATATTATATTAATATATAATGATTATAGTATATTTACAGCCACCCTCATTATATAATTAAATCTCTCATACTACTACATACACCACTTTATAAATCCCCTTTCCTTCCCCCCCACACTACACTATATTATATTAATAATATATATATATAGTATCAATACCACCATAATTACTGTAATTATTCATCACTATATAATACAACCATCCTTTTTATATATAGATATATATATATAATTATATATAATATATATTATGATATATATATATAGTATAGATATATTATAGGTATACTAATGTAAATATATATAATGAGTGAGGACATTACTATATACCTATTATGTAATGTAGCATTCTGATAGTAATGATAGAGTTTATGACTTAGTAATGAATATATATATATTAATAGTACATTATGTTATTATCAATATATAATATATTACTAACATTATATAATATATAATAATATATATTAGTATGTCCACACTCTTTATATATACCAACTATTATATAGAAGTATATAGATAATAGGTAAATGTAGTAAATATTATTTATATTATATAAATATATATATGTATTAATATATTTATAAGTATACTGTATTATATTAGTTATATATTATACTATACCAATAATATATTAATAATATTCGTACTAGTGCACTTTTATATATATTATATATATATAGCTTAATATATATAGGATGTGTATACCTTAGTATATATGCATAATTACATATAATTATAATAGCTGAGTATAATAATATATTATATATATAGTAGTATAATTTTTTATAGTAGTAATATTATTTTATATTATATATATATCAATAATATACGGCCTCGCTATAGTATAATATTTATTATATATATAGTTATATAAATATTATTTAATATTATATATATAATATAATTATATTATGAATAGATTTATAATATATGGACATATATGAATAAATACATATAAATATACACTACTCACCACTTACTCATTAGAATAGGATAGCGTATACAATACATATACATACCCTATCGGAATATACAATGTATTATATATTATATTATATTCTTATAGTATAACATTATATATATATATTATATATATCATTCACATGTATGAATATACAATTATATTTATATATATAATATAATAATATGTTTATCAATATATCATATGAATGTATAGATATACAACCAACATATGTATATGATAGCATTATATGACGTATACTATATACTATAGAGTGAATATATATTAAGGATAATTCTGCAGTATATTTATAACTACTATACAACAAATGTATATATACATTAATATATAGATTATATTATGATATATATGTAGATAGGATATAATATTTAGGGTAATATAATAGTATATACAATACAACATATGGTATATAATACATTATATAATAGATAATATATTATAGGTATATTATTATATAAGTATAGATATACTATATCTATAATAACTATATACAATACATATGGTATACTATACACTACTATACATATGAAACTAATAGCATAATTGTTATGGTATATACATTATATAGATCATACTTATAGATATATATACTTACCTACCTAAATATTATATTAATGTACACACACACACACACACACACACACACAACACGTAATTATAT